CTGTAGCTAGAGTTTTCCTGCCTGGCCCACAGTCAGGACAAATCTCTCTCACCTGCCAGTCCCACAGCCACTCAGACCCGATCAAGTAAACACAGAGACTTATATTGGTTACAAACTGTATGGCCGTGGCAGGCTTCTTGCTAACTATTCTTACAGCTTAAATTAATCTATTTCCATTAATCTATACCTTGCCACATGGCTCGTGGCTTACCGGCATCTTTACATGCTGTAGCCAGGCAGGAAGGATAGGGTAGGTGGGACAAGGAGGAGAAGAATGCTGGGAGGTGGAACGCTGAGGCAGAGAGACGCTACCAGCTGCCGCCATGACAAGCCAGATGTAAGGTACCAGTAAGCCACGAGCCACGTGGCTACTTATAGATTAATAGAAATGGGTTAATTTAAGATATAAGAACAGCCGGGTGGTGGTGGCGCACACCTGTAATCCCAGCACTCGGGAGGCAGGTGAATCTCTGTGAGTTCGAGGCCAGCCTGGTCTACAGAGCTAGTCCAGGATAGGCTCCAAAGCTACACAGAGAAACCCTGTCTCAAAAAACCAACAAAAAAACCCAACCAAACAAACAAAACAAAAAAAAAAGATATAAGAACAGTTAGCAAGAAGCGTGCCACGGCCATACAGTTTATAAGTAATATAAATCTCTGTGTGTTTACTTGGTTGGGTCTGAGTGGCTGCGGGACTGGAGGGTGAGAGAGATTTGTCCTGACCGTGGGCCAGGCAGGACCAGGAAAAGTATAGCTACAGGCATGCGCCACCACCACCCAGCTCAGCAATCTTAACCACGGAGCCATCTCCCCAACCACTTCCTGACTCCCACTTCTTTGAGGCAGTGTTTAAACTAAACCAGGCTGGCTCTGCTCCCCAAATAATTAAGGGTGATCCCTCATATAACTAAGATTGGCCTTGGATTTCTAATCCTCCTACCTCCACCTTCTGAATACAGGCTTACACTACCAGGCTCCTTGAACATAAATGATTCCCTCAGCCCTGTGGTAGCTAAGAACTACAGATACACAGAGAAAAGCGACCTCCCCTCAAGTACTGACAGCCTAGAGGAAGCTGGACAAGAGTCACCCTCCGACTCAGGAGACAAGAAGATAGGTCAACCTGGAAACCAGAAATCCAGATGTCTGTGGCCGGTGAACAACATCCAACCTAAGGGCTGAATTTTAATTTTGTTTGCATTGAAATAAACAGGTTCTACACAGTCAGGTCCAGTTGAAGCCTGTCTGGGCTGTATATGTCTATCTCAAAAAGACCAATAAATAAAGAAAAATAATAATCGCAGATGCATCGGTGGTTATCCTGGTTGGCAGCGTAGCCATGGACCATCTAAAGGGAGATATCCTAAGAGTAGCTCAGCAGAGAACTCAGGATTGAGGGAGATACCAAGAGCGAGCCTAGCCGGGCAGCGGTGGCGCACAACATTAATCCCAGTACTCAGGAGGCAGAGGCAAGTGGATCTCTGTGAGTTCAAGGCCAGCCTTGTCTATAAAGTAAGTTTCAGGACAGCCAGAGCTGTTGTATAAAGAAACCCTATCTTGAAAAAACCGAAAGAAAAAAAAATTTGAAAGTTCACCTTGTTACATTTAGGACTTCAAAGGACAGGGTGGGGTCCATGAGACCCTGTCTCAGAAAACCACGTAAATAAGTATATAGATAAATTGAATAAAAAGGGAAAGAAAAACCTAAGGAAAAGCAAAAACCAGAAACTGTTTGCAGTAACTCCCAGACTAGATCAGTATGGAGCCTGTACAGTGTAAGGAAGAACTATGGTTTGTGTTTTGTTTTCCATTTCAAGATGGGATCTCCCTTCATAGTGTAAGCAGAATTCATGAGCTTCTTGCCTCAGTCTGCCCAACGTTGGCAATGTAGATGTGAGCCGCCATGCCTATAGCAGGACTCTACCTGCTAATATGGAAACACAAGCTGGGGATGAACAAGCCACAGAGCCAAGTACACAGCAAGGGGTGGGAAATCACACGTGTTCATTTTTGCCCCAACTCTGAAAAGATACAGACTAGAGAGAAGCTTGGAAGTGACTGAATAGAAGGAGGGGGTAGGAAGGGACTTCGCATAACTTTTCAAAAATTATTTCTATCCATTTTCTAGATCTCTTTGGAATGTTTACTAGAGTCACCAAAGAGGCTAGCCTCTGGCCCTGCCTGCAGGGATAATCTAGAGCAGGTTAGAATCTAGAGCAGGTTAGCCTTTAGGAAGGCCTAGGAGGGAATATGTAGACTGGGCTACCCCAGGTGGGAGGACACACCCTAAGTGGGGAGTTGACTGCTAATCTCTGGATGCAGTGTGACCAGCTGCTCAAGCTTTTGCCTCCACAGGCTACACCCCATCATGGTGGACTGGACCCTCAAACTGTGAACCAAAATAGGTCCTTTCCCCCTTAATCTGCTGTTATTAGGGTATTGCCTTATTACTGCAGCAGAAAAAGTCACTGGGGCCAGGTGGTGGTGGCGCACGCCTTTAATCCCAGCACTCGGGAGGCAGAGCCAGGCGGATCTCTGTGAGTTCGAGGCCAGCCTGGTCTACAGAGCGAGTTCCAGGAAAGGCGCAAAGCTACACAGAGAAACCCTGTCTTGGGGATATATATATATACCTATACCTGACTAAGGATAATGTAAGTAGACCAAAACTAAAATCAAACAACACTTAACAATCTAAGTTTTTCTTTACATTTTACTTATTTTGTGCATGTGGCAGTCAGAGGACAACTTTTGGGACCCAGATCTAGGGGTCAAACTCAGGTTGTTACGCTTAGCGGCAAGCACCCGTCCCTGCTGAGCCACCTAGCCAGCCCTCAGCTTTAAGTTCAGCTCATTCCTGGCTTTCTTTGCCTCCATCCTCATCTCCTCTCAACCACCCCACTCCCAGGCTTCCTGCTCTCAAGCTGAAGAGATGGACAGCGGCACAGACACCTCAAGACTGAGTCTACTCACAAAGGAGATGACAGAGGACAGGGAGAAGGGGAATGGATATCTGTCCCGGAAGGACACAGGACTGCCTCTGGATAGAGAGGAGACAGACGAGGCCCATAGGCAAATGTCTGTTTATAAAGGTAAAGGGGAAACCCAGTGTTAGGACGAGGTGTTTGATTTTGATTGGACAGGTTAATTAGCTGCAGTTTGGATGTTGAATGACAGGCACACAAAGACCCTTGTGTAGAAAAGGCTGGCCACCAGCTTGGGGGGAGCCCTTAGGAGGTGGGTTCTAACCGGAGCTCCTTAGGTGGTTGGGGGTGTGCCTTCCAAGGGGAATTGTAGGACTCGGCCCATCCCCTCCTCTTGCTTCCTGTGTGGGAGTAAGTCTCCCCCCACCCCACCCCACACCTCCTGTCATTTGCTATCTGACCCCTCAGCCTAAACAAGATAGATCCCACCCAACCACAAGGTAGAAATTCTAAAACCAGGAGCCAAGGGCCTGGGAATGTAGTTTCGTTGAGGAAGGGCATGTTCCTTCCATTTATGAGGCTCTGGGTTCTGCCCTCCCCACTGCAGATTTTACTTAAAAAGAAAACAAGCCGGGCGGTGGTGGCGCACGCCTTTAATCCCAGCACTCGGGAGGCAGAGCCAGGCGGATCTCTGTGAGTTCGAGGCCAGCCTGGTCTACAGCACAAGATCCAGGAAAGGCTCAAAGCTACACAGAGAAACCCTGTCTCGAAAAACCAAAAAAAAAAAAAAAAAACAAAACAAAAAAAAAAGAAAACAAAAACCAGCCTCCCCCTCTCCTGCCCATGGGCACTCTTCTCCTGTTTTCCTGCTCAGGCTAACTATGTGGGAAGGCAGCCATGAAAGGAGCCTGAGGAAAGGCCTGGCAGAGCTGGACACCATATCTTGGGTCATATACTTGAAAACTGCTTTAAAAAAAAAAGAAAGAAAAGAAAAAAGAGGGGCTGGAGAGATGGCTCAGAGGTTAACAGCACTGGCTGCTCTTCCAGAGGTCCTGAGTTCAATTCCCAGCACCCACATGGTGGCTCACAACCATCTGTAATGAGATCTGATGCCCTCTTCTGGCATGCAGACAGAACACTGTATATATAATAAATAAATAAATCTTTAAAAAAAAAAGAAAAAAGAAGAAAGAAAGGAAGGAAGGGAGAAAAAGAAAGAAAAAAGAAAAGGAAAAATTAACCGGGCAGTGGTGGCACACAACTTTAATTCCAGCAGAGCCCCGCAGATCTCTGAGTTTAAGGCCAGCCTGGTCTACAGAATGAGCTCCAGGGCTACACAGAGAAACCTTGTCTTGAAAAAACCGAAAAAGAAAAAGGCGCATGAGTGTTTTGCCAGCATATATTGTTAATCCCAAAGATGCAGGAGGAGCATCCACCCAAACCACTGTGACCAATTTAGGCAAGCAATTGATTAAAACAGGCCTTTTTATTCCTGAACTCCTAGGTGGAGTCTGAGAGGTCAGCACTGGACATGAGGAAGACAGGGTTTTTACAGGGGTAAGAGGTTTCCAAATGGGGGATTCGGAAGGCAAATAGGAAGGATTACTGGAGCATAACATAAACATACAGGTTAGTCCTAATGACCTCCTGAAACAAAGACATGATTGCAAGGAAGTATACCAAGGTAGTCATAACAACCGTTTGAAACAAAGGTAGGGTGCAAGATGGTTATAAACATTTTTTTGAAACAAAGACGTGGTTGCTGGGACATGCAGTTTAGAATAATTAGTTGTTTAGGTTATAGGTGGGCATAGCCCAGTCCCTAAGAAACAGAGGCTTAATCATAAACAGGAATGAGCCTAGTTTGTCTTTACAATAAGATGTCTTTTAAGCCCAAGATGGAGGCAGGCTGGTTCATCAATAGGTCAGTGCTATGTGTGTTCCTGGTGCCTGCTGAGGTCAGAAGAGGGTGTCGATCCCCTGGAACTGGAGTAATAGAAGGTTGTGAGCACTAGGTATTGAACTCAGGTCCTCTGGAAAAGCTACAAGTGCTCTGAGCTGTCTTTCTAGGCCCTGACATTTATTTTATTTTATCTTATTGCACATTTAAAAAAAAAAAAGGTAGCTGAGATAGCAGGTAAGTGGTGTTCTGCAGTTTCTGTCCCAACATCCTGCCTTGAGTTCCTTCCCTTGCTTCCCTGAAACTTGTAAGCCAAATAAACTCTTTTCTCCCCAAGTAGCTTTTGGCCATGGTGTTTATCACAGCAACAGGACAGCAAACTAGAATATGTAGCCCAGGCTGGGCGTGGTGGCACACACCTTTAATCTCAGCACTTGGGAGACAAAGGCAGGCAGATCTCTGAGTTCAAGACCAGCTTGGCCTAGAGTGAGTTCCAGTATAGACTAGGTAGCCCAGATTAGCTTTGAACTCACATACCAAGGATGACCTTGAACTCCTAATCTTCCTGCCTTCACTCCTCAAATGCTGGGGTCACAGGGTGTGCCACCATACCACACTACCAAAAGTTGTTCATTTGTTGGCTTATTTGTTTTGTGGCACTTCAATGTAGCTCAGGCTAGCTTCGAATTTGCTTCTACACAACAGCCTGGAACCAAGGTTGTTACTCTGTACAGCAGAGGTGAGTTATCTCTAGGTCAGGTGGGAGGTCTCTGAAAGGAAGCAGTCTCCTGCTGTAAACATCAAAGAAGAGGAAACTGCTTTTCTACAAACTGCTTTTTCTGACATTTATTTTAAAAGTATTCAGAGCCAGGAGTGTAGCTGGTGGAAAGAGTTCTATCAAGACTCAATCCCCCTGACACCAAATATACAAACAAACAAATCAATGGATGGATGGATGGATGGATGGGTCAATGAATGAATGAATGAATGAATAAAAATTTACTGGTGTTCTCATACCTTAAGATTTACTCTGTAGCGGGCTGGTGGTGGCACATGCCTTTAATCCCATCATTTAGGAGGCAGAGCCAGGCAATCTCTCTGTGTTCGAGGCCAGCCTGGTCTACAGAGTGAGATCCAGGACAGGCACCAAAACTACACAGCGAAACCCTGTCTCGAAAAACAACAAAAAGTTACTCTATAGCACAGGGTGGTGGTACAGGAGCTCTTAAGGACTTGTATTATGTATTATTGAGCACCAGGTGGCGCCACAAAACCATCTCACTTTCTCTCCTAACAACAAACGCAAAGTTTGTGTGGCACTTTGCAGTTCTTTGCAGACTGGGACTTTTGCTAGTTCGGCTGTGTAGACCAGATTGGCCTTAGAGGTCTCCCTTTCTGACCTCAGTCACTGGAGTGCTGGAATTACAGGCATGTGACAGCACATACCACATTGACCCTCAAGACTAAGACTTAAAAACAAAAACAGCTGCAAACCCGTGATTAAAGGGAGACCAGAAAGGGGCCAGAGGCTGGGGACATGGTGGCCTGCAGTGTCCCGGTGTTTCCCCTGTGCCTTTAGAAAATTACATATAGGATAAAAGAATTGATAAATGTCAACCTACTGATGATATACGTAGTGAAACAGATGTTTATTTTGGGATCTTGGGGCAGGGGTGGGGGTGAGTGGGTGGCGGAGGGGATGGCTTAGTTGATAAAAATGCTTACTACCAAAGGGCCAGGTTTGTGGGGTTTTTGTTCGTTTGTTTTTGTTTTTGAGATAGGGTCTCTCTACATAGCTCTGACTGCTCTGGAACTCATGATGACGATAGACCAGGCTGGCCTCAAACTCACAAAGATCTGCCCAGCCTGGTTTGTGGTTTGTAATCTCAGCTCTCAGAGGAAGACAGGCTAGTCCCTGGTGCTGCTGGCCACCCAGTCTAGCCTCACCTGGGAGCCTCAGGTCAGAGACCTTTTCTTTTTCATTTTTATTTATTTATTTGTTTATTTTTCTATTATCAGCTTGATACAGTATAAATTTTTTTTTTGAATGCCGAATGCTGTTTATTGAAGGAGGAAGGAGGTCTTAAATACAGGCTTACAGCACAATGGGAGAACCCCGGAGGGCAGAAGTGCACTACCGATGTTTACAATCCTGCATCTAAGCTGTTAATGCCCAATATGCAGGATACACAGACAAGGAACTTCCCTTAAGCATTCAGGAGGGTGGAACCCAGCAGGGAATTAGCATAGGGAGGACATCAAGGTCAAGGTCAGCAAGTAAGGCAACAGTTACCCAAAACAGGGGCCAGGGCCCTACAGGTCCTCCCTTTTACTAAAAAATGAGCTTCTGACTTAGGTTGCGTGGGATGTCAGCAGGTCACCTTACCTGTCATGGAGACACCTGCCCAGGCCACACAGGTGCTCTGTCTTAGGTTGGTGAGCGCCCCCCAAGCATTACCGATCAGAGACCTTTTCTCACAAAATGAGACACCTTAGGAATGACATTTGAGGTTGACCTTGGGCTTCCACATGCATGTGTAACTGCACACACGTGCACATGATCATGTATATACACACAGCCACCTACAAAAGAGGCTGTTCATTAGGTGTATCCTCAACTACAGTTACAGGATAGCCTGTGGTGATATGTTGTGTACCCTAATAAAATTTGCCTGAAGATCAGAGAACAGAACAAACCATTAGATTAAACTAGAGGTCAGGCAGTGGTAGCACACACACCTTTAATCCTAGCACTTGGGAGGCAGAGATCCATCAGGATCTCTGTGAGTTCAAAGCCACCCTGGACTACATGAGATTGACTCAGTCTAGGAGAGAAAACAGAGTCAGGCAGTGGTGGCACACACCTTTAATCCCATTCCTGGGAAGCACACATGCCTTTAACCCCAGAAGTGATGGCCGGGCCGAGAAAGGTATATAAGGCCTGAGGAGACAGGAACTAAAAGGTTTTCGGCATTAGCGTCCCTTTCAGGTAGAGGCTTTTTTGGCTGGAGTCTTTCGGGTGAGACTCAGAGACATTCAGTCAGGGGATTCGTGGAGTTGGCGAGGTGAGCTGTGGCTTGTTCCTTTGTTTCCCTGACCTTTCAGCATTTGCCCTCATATCTGGGTCTGGGTTTTTTACTATAACACCATTTAGAATTCGAACAATAGCCTGGGGCAACATGAGATTTTTGTCTTAAAAAAAATTCAGAGGCTGAGTGCAGTGGCAACCACCCTTAATCACAGCACTCGAGAGGTAGAGGGGGACACATCTGAGTTCAAGACCAGCCTCGTCTACATAGCCAAGCCAGCTAGGACTGGAGACCTTGAATTTTAAAAATAAAAAAAAGAAAGGGAGGAAGGAAGGAAGGGAGGAAGAAAAGAAAAGCTCACGCGGGACCTCAGTATGTAACCCAAGCCCGAGTCTCCTCACTCAGCAGCCCAAGTTCTGGGATTACAGACATGTCACCATGCTCAATTTGGACCTTTTCTTTTGCCTAAGAGTGTGACCTAGCATGTGAGGCCCTGGACTCTATTCCCAGTACTGAAAAAACAAAAACAAACAAACAAACCAAAAACCTTGATCACTAAATGTTAAATAAAACTCTTACAAAGACTCTATCTGGATCTCAGCCCTCAAGAGGCAGAGGCTGGAGACGGCTCAGTGGCTAAGAGCACTGGCTGCTCTTCCAGAGGACCAGAGTTCAGTTCTTAGCACTCACAGGGCGGCTCACAGCTGCCCGTAACTCTAGTTAAAGCAGATCCAATGCTCTCTTATGGTCTCTGTGAGCCCCAGGCACACATAGGCACAGACACATGTGCAAGTGAAACACCCATACACAAAACACTAGTGAGACACCCCCCCAAAAAAAACCCCACAACCATGGTCACATCAAATTATACAAAAAGAAAAACCAGGTATTAAGAATGAAATTCTCAGCTGCGGCTCTTGACTTTTCCTGTCTCTATTGCTGACGGGAAGTGGAAGCCCACGAAAGATCTATGGGCATGTGCTTTCCTTCTATTTGTCAATATGAGGTGATCCTTACATGTGAACAGAGCAGGTATGGTGAGTGACAAGTCCCTGTGGTCTCAGCACCCGGGAGGCTGAGGTTGGAGGGACGTGAGTTCAAAGGCAGTCTGGGCTATACAGTGAATTCCAGGCCAGCCTTGGATTCACAAGACCCTATCTAAAAATACACCACACACACACACACACACACACACACACACACAGACGGGGGGGGGTAACCACTCGAGGAGGAGGTGGGGTCTGTTTCACTGTTACACACTCCATGTGTTTTGCTAAATCAGTGAACAACGCCAACAAAAGACCCAGGAGGCTGACCCACGTCGGTGTCCAAGACGATGCAACCAGGCTCATCAGGGCCCTTTGAACCCTCTGCTTGAAGTTCCATGATCCACGCAGAGCTCTAAGATCTTGATAAGATCTTGGGGATGATTCGTCTACACTCTCTCCTAGACAGCTTTCTTCTCAGTCTGTGGTGCTCCCAGGACCAAACTCTGTTGCTACTTGGCTCAAAGAACTGAAGAATATTCCCACAGAACACAGCAGAAGGAAGTCCAAGGGATGGGATTCTGGGAAGAAGGCGACATTGTGTAACGTTATTTTTTATATAAATTATCTTTATTTATATGGCATACAAAAGGTATAAATATGATTTGTGTAAAACCGATCACCTGCACATTCAAGCAGAGCCCACGGAATGGGAGTACAGAGCTCTCCAAGCCAGAGAGAAAGATTAGAACCAGTGGCCCATGGCCCCCCCCACCACTTAACTGGAGACAAACGAACAACTTTCTGCTTAACAGAGTGGCTTGTAGGGTCAGCGGGTGGCAGAGGTGTGTCAGGCTTCAGAGCACGTTTATGAACAAGGCACTTGGTGGGAAGCATGCCTGAGGCAGAACCAGTGACATCTGAAGGGAGAGACAGGACACCGGGTGAACACAGGCCTCCACTTCCCAGATCTTCCGCCATCATGAAGAGGTCTGATACTGAGCAGGGAGCAACAGGGTGCAGGGGCGAAGGGACCTCCTCCACACAGGCAGGACCATGGAGCTGTAGCCAGCAACCTTTCGCCCATGCTGGGAAGCAGCTGGGAGTGGACCACCACTGAAGGCAGGGCCAGAGTTCTGGAATTCTCAAGTTCAGGTCCATCCTGGGCTGGTGAACTGGAGGAATCTGTCATGATTTGCAGGCAAGTGTTCATGATCTCAAAGCCTCGGTGACGGAGAGCGTCTGCACTGGTGGGCCAGGCTGAAGGCCAGAGGACAAAGTTGACCCGGTGAGGCCTGTGGAGTGTCAGTGAGGCCATACTGTCTCCCCTTCCACTAGATTAAGACTCTGGAGAGCAAGACTTTCAGAGGTTTGGCCGGTCACTCTGCTGAGATCGCTCCCTACCACCCTGCTCTAAGGACACGGAAGAGGGAGGCTGGGGCATGAGAGCCTTCCCAGACCCCAGGAGCAAGCTAGTGCCACATGACCCAGAAAAAGAAAACATGACCACTGAGTGAAGCTTTCCTAGCATTGATGGCAGGTGACACTCTACAGCCATCATCACCATGAGGTAAAAGTGATCAAGAGTATTCAGCACAAGTACCTCGTAAAGAGTTGGTCTGTTGCCAGGTGGTGGTGGTGCACGCCTTTGATCCCAACACTCAAGAGGCAGAGGCAGGCAGATCTCTGTGAGTTCGGGGGCAGCCTGGTCTACAGAGTGAGTTCCAGGGTATCCAAGGCTGTTCGTTATACAAAGAAACCCTATCTCGGGAAAATAAAACAAAACAAAAAATAAAAATAAAGTCAGTCTGCTGCTCCTAAAGAGCAAACTGTGTCGTGTCTCTACTTACGTTCTGGAAGACGCTCCAGCTTCAGAGTATAGGGACACACTGAGGCAGGCCGGCAAACCGGAGTCACGGGCCAAACTAGGACAATGCCCACTTTGTAAATAAAGTTTTATTGGGACACAGCTACAGTCTTTGTGCACCAACTGGTTATGGCTGTTTTTGTGCTAAAGATGCTAACTGGAGACAGAGCAAGAGGCGCCGTCAGACCATTGGCTGGGAAAGTCTGCAGGCTCCCAAAGGCATCCAAGGGAACAGCCCCTTTTTGAAAGGGTCTTCAAAAAAGGAGGCCCAAGTGTTTAATATGAGAACCTGATTCTGTTGGGAGTGCCTGAGCACAGGGAAGCTACACTCGTCAGTCTGTTGTGCAGTCAGGAGTCACCAGTGTGCCCAGGTGTCCACTTCCCTGGGCTTTAAGCGATCTCTCACCCACTGAAGACCACATGTGGTCTCTGAAGCTCAGAGAAGGCATGAACGAGTGTGTGCAAGCATGCGTCCTCGTGTATAAACACACACGCACACGCACACACTCACATTCACACACACGCTCGATCATCCCCGAAAGGAGCAGACTGTTGCTCTTCTTGTGCTGGGGCAGGTCAAGGGCAGCTGCTTTCTGCTCCTGAAGGCTCTGTGGTGTGGAAGTTTCCTACTTGCTGCTTCTCATTCACATGCCAGCTTGCTGTCAAAGCTGGACAGCCCGATGGCAAAGGCTTGAAGTGCACACAGTGGGTAGTTATAGTCCAGTGTGAACACATCATCAGCCACACGTCCAAACTGCATGACTATGTAGTCAGCTGGAAACAGAAAGAAACGAATATGTTAGAGGTTAATGTGGGGGGTACTGGGGATGGGGCAGACTAACTCTTTAAAATGGCAACTAAGGGCTGGAGAGATGGCTCAGCGGTTAAGAGCACTGGCTCCTCTTCCAGAGGTCTTAAGTTCAATTCCCAGCAACCACATAGTGGCTCACAACCACCTGTGAGATCTGGTGCCCTCTTCTGGCCTGCAAGAACACATGCAGACAGAACATTACACAAATAAATAAATAAACCTTTTTTTTTTTTTTTTTTTTTTTTTTTTTTTGCTTTTTCGAGACAGGGTTTCTCTGTGTAGCTTTGCGCCTTTCCTGGAACTCGCTTTGGAGACCAGGCTGGCCTCGAACTCACAGAGATCCGCCTGGCTCTGCCTCCCGAGTGCTGGGATTAAAGGCGTGCGCCACCACCGCCCGGCAAATAAACCTTTAAAAAATAAAATAAAATGGCAACTAAGAAGAGGGAAGCAGCTCAGCGGTATAGCACCTGCCTGGGACGTGGGAGGTACCAAGTTCCACTCCTCACACAATAATAAACAAACAAACAAACAAACAAATAAGTAGGGAGCTTGTAGCTGGGTGTGGTGGCATACACTTGTAATCCCCGAATTCAGGAGGATGAGGCAGGAGGATCACAGCTCTACTGGCTGGGCTTACATAGCAAGACCCTGTCTCAAAAAGGTAAAATCGGAAGTTTCTACTTCTGTTCTTCTCCCTACAGACTGGGAAATTATTCCTGACTAACATGGAGGACAGGGGAAAGCCCAGCGAAGCTGGAGGGAGTCGCCTGGCTGGCTTCACTGGGGTCACTTGCACCTGGGTCCTAAATGACCTCACCTAAGAGTTCTTTGCTATGCCACAGAAAGGTGCTCATACTCCTCTGGCCCCGTGGCTCCGTCTTTTCAGAGTTCCTTTCTTCAGTCACTCCCTGCTGGCATGGTTTCTTTAGCCACTCCTCCAGGCATGGATGGCTTCCCGGCCGTCATTTCCAAGTTTACACGGAGTACCTTTCCCAGTCCCACCTAGCCCTTCCCTTACTTACGGTCATTTCCATGGACTATCTGAAAGTTCTTCACTGACGCCTGAGTGACCCTCCCGTGGAAGTTGAGGACATAGGACTGGGTGTCGTCACTCCACACCGGGGCCTTGTTGTGCAGTTCAATCAGGTTCTCCATGGATTTGTTTTGCCACTTTGAAAGCAAGCTCTCATGTTCCTGTGTGGAGGGAAAATGACTGTCACGTCCTCACAATTCTGAGAGTCAGAAGGTGGAGCTTTCCAGAAAAGGTTGAAACAGCAACAGAAAACTGAAGTCAAACATCAGCACAAGCTTTGGAATTCTTTGTAACTTTTTTTCTACTTTAAAAACAATTACTGATCTTTGTTTTAATTTTAAGTTACAGACAATTGTGAGCCACCCTGTATGTGTGCTGGGAACTGAACCTGGGTTCTCTGGGAGAGTAGTCAGTGCTCTTAACTGCTGAGTCATCTCTCCAGGGCCAGCTTTAAGATTCTGATGGGCCAGCTAGCATTTCTCAAGTCAGCATCTCTGGAACATCCTTCCCATCCTGAGGATCCGGAGCAGTGGCTCTGGTTCAGAAGAAGCAATGCTTTTTTCTTTTTTTTTTAACTGGTCTCTTCTGTGCGGTATTACTGTATTCAAGATGTATCACTGTCTTCTATTTTTTTTTATTTTTTTATTTTATTTTATTTTTTTTTTTTTTTTGAGCTGAGGATCGAATCCAGGGCCTTGTGCCTGCTAGGCAAGCGCTCTACCACTGAGCTAAATCCCCAACCCCACTGTCTTCCAGAGACCTTTGTGATGGGATATAATTCTTCTTCTGCCTTTGAGACCCGGTCTCATTGTGGATCTATTTTCACTTTACTTACATTTCGTGGCCGAAATGGGATGCGTTCATGATTCATATTCATCCCCGGAATGATCACAGACATTTTCCTAGGACCTTTAAAACCCAGTACATTGGTTTCCTGAAAGACAGTAAAATAAGGCAGAATTTGGAAACGGAAGGGAGGAAGAAACCTCGATCTGTTTTACAGGAAACCTCCTCTGGCACAGAAAATGCTGCCAGCCTTGAGAGCCCGAAACCAGTTTCAATTCTTTGCTGGAGCTAAACGGAGACTGAGAATTGGACACAGAAGTCAGGCGTGGAGGCACACGCCTGCACATACATGTCCCAGCACTTGGGAGGTTGAAGTAAGAAGACTGCTTGAGCCCAGGAGTTTGGGGCTAGCCTATGCAAAGTAGCCTTGTCAAGGAAGGAAGGAAAGAAAAGAAAGCCAGCCGTGGTGGCACACACCTTTAATCCCAGAATTCAGCGGGTTGAAGCAGGAAGGTTGAGAGTTTGAGGCCAGTCTGGAATATGCAGCAAGACTAGGACATACAAGAAGACCCTGTCTCAAAAGGAAAAAACCAAACCAAAACAACAACTATGAAAGAGAGAGAGAGAGAGAGAGAGAGAGAGAGAGAGAGAGAGAAGAGAAGAGAAGAGAAGGGAGAGAAGAAGAAGAAGGAGAAGAAGAAGAAGAAAGAAAGAAAGAAAGAAAGAAAGAAAGAAAGAAAGAAAGAAAGAAAGAAAGAAAGAAAGAAAGAAAGAGAGAGAGAGAGAAAGGAGGGAAGGGAAAGGTTAAATGCAAGAGATGGCTTTAATTGTAACCTATTGTTTATTATAGCCTCTGGCCAAAGAGTAAGCATCAGGGAAAGAGAAGGGAGCTTAGTGGAGAACCATAACTGAACTTGGTGATCCAAACCCAATTAAAACTCAAATGCAAGAAAGGATGGCAGCTCCCAAAAGGGGATCGGAGAAACACCAAGAGAGGAAGAAGAGCTGGCTCTGGGCCTGGCTGGCCGCACAGGAGGGCAGAGGAGGGGCCCCGGGAGGCACTTACATAGCAGATGGCAGCCAGCTCCTGGCGGGTGTGGGCCTTTTCCACCAGACCCTGGGCCTTGACTGGGTTGACACCATGGTCATACACTGTGAACTTGGTCCCCATGAGATTGGATCTGGTATCAGGAGAAAAAGCTACCATGATGATCTGCAGTTTCCTCTTAAGACAAGGACAGGGGACACCTGTCTGCCCGCTAGCCAAATAGCAGCACGGACATCATCTTTTCAAAGACCTCACATCACAAGGAAGGGCGTAGATTCCTCTTTCTTATTTGTTTAGATAGATAGTCTTCCTCTACATCCTAGGCTGGCCTTGAACTTGTGGGCAAAATCCTCCTGCTTCAGTCTCCTAAGTGCTGGGAGGATGGGCATGAGCCACTATGCCTGGCCCAAGATTTTCTTTCTTTTAAATTTTTATTTAAAGGAATATAATAAATAATTTATTAACAATTAAGAAATAATTTAATAAAAATAAATTATTGTTATTATTTTAGTTATTGAGACAGGGTCTCTCTACCACTAGCCTGGAACTCATGACCCACCTGCTTCTGTCTCCCAAATTCTGGAATTAAACGTGTGTGCCATTATGCCTGGCCTCAAGATTTTCTTTTAACTTTTTTCTTTTTTGGTTTTTTGAGACAGGGTTTCTGTGTGTAATAGTCCTGGCTTTCCTGGAACTTGATTTGTAGACCAGGCTGGCCTTGAATTCACAGAGATCCACCTGTTTCTGCCTTCCAAGTGCTGGGATTAAAGGCATAAACCACCACTGTCCGGCTAACTTTTTTCTTTTTCTTTTTCTTTTTTAAAGATTTATTTATTATGTATACAGTGTTTTATCTGCATGTACCCCTGCCCACCAGAAGAGGGCACCAGATCTCATTACAGATGGCTGTGAGCCACCATGTGGTTGCCAGGAACTGAACTCAGGACCTCTGGAAGAAGAGTCAGTGCTCTTAATTCTGAGCCATCTCTCCAGCCCCCAACTTTTTTCTTTTTAAGATTAACACATCTATGTATTTGAATCATTTAAAAACAAACAAACAAACAAAAACAATACCAAAGGTCTGGGATGTGTTCAGTGGTAAAGCAATTGCTTAACATGTATGAGGCCTTAGGTTCAAACCCTAGTAACAGAGAAGAGAATGGGGGCGGTGGGGTGGGGGGCAGGGTGGAAAAAAGAAAGAAAAAAGCAATTATTCTAAAATTACAGGAATTACGGAAAGACTAGGTTGGTGACCTGAGGCTTCATCACCTGAGTTTGCCAATGTAACTTTCCCCTTCACGAGACAAATCAGTCGGGTCTGTGGAGACCAGGTAGTTGGATGTTTTGCTCTTTTTCCGCTTCCTACCAGCAAGAAGAAATATCTGAGAAAAGAAAAATGTCAAACACAAGTCCAGTGAGACCACAAATGATTACCAGTATCTATCATGTGCAAAGAAGTACATCTTTAATCCTAGCACCTGGGAGACAGAGGCAGATCTCTGTGAGTTTGAGGCCGGCCTGGTCTACAGAGTGAGTTCCAGGACAGCCGGGGCTACACACAGAGAAAAACCCTGCCTCAAAAAACCAACAAACAAGAACCACAGAATAAAATACACGAACAAAGGAGATCCAGCACTTGGATGGCCGAGGCAGGAGGATCTGAAGTTCATCCAGCTAGTCACCCTCAGTCCAAATTTGAGGCTATCCTGGAATATATGACATCCCACACAAAGAAAGAAAAGAGGGAGGGAGAAGAAAACAAGCATACACCTACACTCTTGCTGGGGCAGCTCAGTGGTTGGGGCAGCTCAGTGGTTGGGTCAGCTCAGTGGTGGGTCAGCTCAGTGGTTTGGGCAGCTCCCATCGTGCAGGGAGCTGAGCGCTATCCTAGCACATGGAAACACTTCTCCACTTCCTTACACTTTTTTGTTTGTTTGTTTGTTTTTGTTTTTGTTTTTTCAAGACAGTGTTTCTCTATGTAACAGCCCTGGCTGTCCTGGAACTCGCTCTGTAGACCAGGCTGGCCTCGAACTCACAGAGATCCGCCTGCCTCTGCCTCTGGAGTGCTGGAATTAAAGGCGTGGGCCACCACGGTGCCCAGCTCCACTTCCTTACATTATGGACAGAAGTTTTTCTAGAAGGTGGGCAGGGGTGAGGAACTAGAGGTCCTGCCCATGACTAGGTCTGATCTAATGACATTAGAACAGGACTTCGGTGTACATAACCCACTTTCAGCTGATGGAGTCTAATCAGTGGGACTCCCTGGGCATAACCAATTCCCACAACAGCCTTGTCCTCCCAGGAGCATCTCAGGGTTAAGGGCGTGGCTTGGTGAAGGAGTGCCTGCCTAGTGCGCATGATGTTTCATCGCCAGACCAGAAGAAAAGAAGGAAGGAAACGGCCTAGGATGGACCCCATACCTTGCGATTCTCCTCCTTCTCCAGGTGCATATAGTAGGTAGGGAAGAGGCCACGGTCCATGCCCTTCTTATCCCTGGTTACCCGACACTTCACTGTGACACCCCGAGGGGCAGGGCTGTATGCGAAGTCCTCTAAATTCTCCACTTCTCCAAGCTGGGCATCCCCTTGCTGGGCTGTGATACCAGAAGCCCCTGTCTCCTGAAAACCGTTTGATGTGAGCAACCAGAATTGGGTGCAAACTTCATCCCCTGCAACAGACACTCAGCGGACAAAATCCTCCCCGTCTTCCGTCCTCGCCCAAAGGCAATCCGACAGTCACACAGTGAGCGCATCAGGAGCCCCAGTGCGAACACTTCCCGTGTTTGAGGATCACCACACCAGCTGCAAAGGACAACATACCGAGGCTACTTTCTGGCTGGCTGCCGAACTCTCTCTTTCTGGCTGAGCTGACGGGGAGCTGAGATTGTCCCCTTCCTCTTCCTCATTGTCAGTCTCCTCATCGTAGTTCACGCTACCCAAGATGCCTGGCAGAAAAGGAAACACTGTCAGCAACGGCCAGTGGGGGTCTGAGAAGATCATCCTGGAAATGAAGAGCTTTTACATTTTTCTTGCTTAAAACATTCCCAGCGAGGTGGCTCGGTGAGTAAAAGAACTGACTCCCTAAAGATGCCTGACTGCCACATGTGTGCTGTGGCATGTGCGCGCGCGCGCACACACACACACACACACACACACACACACACACACACACCACACAAATAAAAATGTAATGATGAATCGCTAACTGGAATCAGATATGGTAGTACATGTGTATAATCCCAGTACTCAGGAGACAGAGGCAGAACAAAAGGATCAGAAAGTCAAGGCTATCCTTGGCTATATAACAAGCTTGAGGCCAGCCTGGGCTACATAAGACCTTGTCTCACCACAATCACCTCCTATTACGCTTAAGGCAAACTCCGAAGTCCTGCTATGGCCTCTTACATTCTATGGAACCAGCATCTTCTGTATTTGTTTTTGAGATGAGGGTCTCACTATAGAGTCTTGGCTGTCTTGGAACTTCACTGTGTAGACCAGACAGGCCTTGAACTCACAGAGATCCTCCTACCTCTGCTGCCCTAAGTGCTGGGAGTAAAGGTGTGCACCAACATGCCCCTACATCTCTACACCCAGAAGCAGTCCCTCTACGCCCCCCAGGCTCCCCCTACCCACCCTCTCACACCCTGCTCCATGCCCCACTACTGCTGCCTCAACGGGCCAGTTCCTGTGCTGTCAGGCCCTTGCACTTCCTCTGGGCAGCTTGCCAAGCCACCCAACCTTGGGTAGCTGCTATCCAGGGACTCTCTGGCACCTTTTTACTTCTAGCACAAAGCCATATTTACTTATTTTTGAGACAGGGTCTCATGTAGTCCAGGATAGCTTGAACTTGTTATATAGTCTAGAAGGACCCTGAAGGAATGCCCTGCCTCCATCTTCTGAGCGGTGGGAGTACAAGCACGTGTCTCTACACAGTTTCTCCAGTGCTGGGAATCAAACCCAGGGCTTCACACAGGCTAGGCAGGTACTCCCACCAACTGAGCTACATTCCCCAAGTCACAGAGCCTCAGTCAGAATTAACGCTCTATGAGAATAACGCTCATACAATTATGCACTCAGAACCCATTTTCATTGTCTTTTTTAAACTTTTAAAGATTACATTTTAACTTGTTTATTCTGTGAGTGTTTCTGTCTTCCACCCCATGGGTTCTGTTCAAACTCTGGTTCTCAGGCCTGCCAGGAAATGCCTCTGTCCACTGAACCATCTCCATGGTCCTCAGAACCTTTTTGTTGTTGTTGTTGTTTTCTTTCTTTCCTTTTTTTTTTTTTTTTTTTTTTTTTTTTTTTTTTTTTTTGGTTTTTCGAGACAGGGTTTCTCTGTATAGCTTTGCGCCTTTCCTGGAACTCACTTGGTAGCCCAGGCTGGCCTCGAACTCACAGAGATCCACCTGGCTCTGCCTCCCGAGTGCTGGGATTAAAGGCGTGCGCCACCACCGCCCGGCTTTCTTTCCTTTTTTTTTTCCCCTCGAGACAGGGTTTCTCTGTGTAGTTTTGGTGCCTGTCCTGGATCTCGTTCTGTAGACCAGGCTGGCCTTGAACTCACAGAGATCCGCCTGGCTCTGCCTCCCGAGTGGTGGGATTAAAGGTGTGTGCCACTGACGCCTGGCCTTTTTTTTTTTCCTTTAAAATTAAAATTTATTTATTTAGTTAACAGGTGTGTATGGAGAATTGTAGGAGTCAATTTTCTCCCTCCACCTTATGGGGTTCCAGGGATTGAACTCTGGCCGTGGGGCTTGGCAGCAGGTAACTTTAACCAATAGCCCATCTCGCTGACTCGGAAGCTACTTTCTAAGTGGATGAATGCATGGACCTGTTTCAGTGTCCAGCTCTTCTCCCACACGGCAGCAGATCCCCCGGGTGGGAGCTGGTAATGCAAGCACCTGGCACACAGCATTCCTTCCTGGCCTTCACTGTTCTCACTCCAAGGACAGTCACACTGCAGAGCATGGGGCAAATGTCTACGGTCTCAGCATCCAAGCGGCTGAGACAGGGGGATTTCAGCCTGGGTCACATAGCAATACCTTGTCTAAAAGGAAAAAAAAGGGGGGGGGGGGCGCAAAAACAGGCACCTGATCTCATTATGAAATCTTTCTTTTCTTTTCCGAGACAGGGTTTTGTGGTGATATTTTATTTGTGCTGAAATGTGATATTTTATTTGTGTGTTAATAAATAAAGTTGCCTGAAGATCAGAGGTCAAATAGCCATTAAGCAGAAGTCAGGTGGTGGTAGCACGTGCCCTTAATCTGATCAAATGGCAGGCAGAGTCTCTGTGTGTTCAAGGACACAGCCAAGTGTGGTGACACAAGCCTTTAATCCTACTACCAACCATAGAGACCTGGAGGTCAAGACAGACAGTGACGAGGAAGTCATGTGGCTGGGCTTAGAGCCAATGAAGGCAGAACAGAAAGGCAATTAAAAACACAAGTCAGGCAGGAAGAAATCTCTCTGTGGAAGCTACTGTACAGTGGTAAGCTACAGTTAGTCATGGCTATTGCTCTGATCTCTTTGGCGATTACCTCTGTATTTGGCTCTGTGTTTCTTATTTACTAAGACTGTTTAGAATTTCGTCTACAGGGTTTCTCCGTCAAAAGAAAGGGAAAGTCATCTATAATGACTATTCTGTATTTCATTACCTTGTTTTCTCAGACAGCAGCATAAGTGACTACAGTTGCCAAGCATCCCCATTTACATGTCAAAGATGCTGAAACCCCAGGCCACACGAAGCAAGCCTGGGCCATGTAGATTATAAGCCAGCGAGAGAAAGGAGGTCACCCTGTCCTAAACTCTGCATCACCCTCACCGTGTTTCTGGAGAATCTCCTGAAGGTCTGGCTTCGGGGAAGTCTCCACAGGGCTTTCCTCATCTGCGCCTCCTTCAGTGCCCTCTTCGGGAGCAGGGGAGCCCGGGGAGCCCACTGAGAGAACATGAGGCTTGCTTTCCAAATCCTGAGCCTCTGGCTTAAGGAAAGCAGCTGGACCATCAATGCCTAGGAGGAGAGAGAGGGAGGGAGGGAGGGAGGGAAAGTAGGGAGGGAGGGAGGGAGGGAGGGAGGGAGGGGGAGAGAGAGAGAGAGAGAGAGAGAGAGAGAGAACCAGAATTGAGCTTGGTGGTTTGGGGGATGTGGTCAGAATCAAGGGTTGCCCAGCCATCTCAGATCTCCTTCCTTAACGTCACAAGCACATTTGTCCAGGACTAGGACCGATTCTATTAACAGGCTTGGCTACTCAAGCTGTACTCCAGAACTAGGAGTGAGACCAAGAGGTTGGGAGTGTGGCTCAGGGCCAGAGTTTTCATTCACCTTGAGAATTTTGAGAATTCATTCACTCATTTTAGACGGAACCATTCATTTTTCATCAAAATCAATAGTTCTAGGGTGGACATGAACTTGAAGGCATCTTCCACGATTTTCCCCCAAAGACCCAGAAGGTGATTATAAAGACTATGAAGGTACTTAGGAAGAACACCGGTACTGTTTTTGTGCACATTAGCGTTCTCCTGCCTTATCTCGGGTCTGTGAAAATTGTACTTAAGCCAGATGCGGCACTGTCTGAATACACACCATGTAGGATGACATCGCTGCGAGGCGTCTGAGGGTCCACCAGAGGCGTGTGCTCCTCGCCACCTCGTGGCTTTAACCGTCGCAGCCTGGCTTCTGGGTTTGGTTGTACCATAAGTGGCTCAAGGCGCTTCTTTCTCTGCTTCTTCTCCAGCAGCGCCCTCTAGGGAGAAAATTCAGTATTACAATAAGGGGCCTACCATATTGGAATAGCTTAGACCGCTTTAAAAAACAAAACAAAACAACCTAATCCTAAGAACTACTGCGAATTCCTTTTTGTTTCACAAGAAACACAAACACTCCAGTTGGGCATGGTGGTACACATCCTTAATCCTAGCATCTAGGAGGCAAGCAGATCTCTTGAGTTTGAGACCAGCCTGGTCTTGGAAACACTCAGGCAGGGTTTTTCCTCTTTACTGATGGGGTCTTCCGATGTATTCCAAGATGATTTTCAACCAATGATCTTCCTGCCCAAACCTCCCAAATCTTGGGATTACTGGGATGTACTGCCACAGCCAACCTTAGTTTTCTTCTTCTTTTTTTTTTTTTTAACCGGAGCTGAGGACCAAACCCAGGGCCTTGCGCTTGCTAGGCAAACACTCTACCACTGAGCTAAATCCCCAACCCCCAACCTCAGTTTTGCGTTCTTGTTCACCTTACAAAAGCTGAAATCAAATGAACTTGGGCCAGAGCTGAGAAGAAAGAAAAGGTAGCTGGGACATTCCGAGCAGAGGACAAGTGAGTTTACGGGTAAAAGCAAGATAAAGAGCCGGGGCCGGGGGCAACCCTGCAGAACGCTTGCTTGGTTGTGGTGATAAACACCATGACCCAAAGCAACATGGGAGGAAAGGCTTCATTTCCATTTACAATCCTTCAGAAAAGGCAAGTCAGGACAGGAAAAAGGGGGAAAGAACTAGAGTGGAGGTCACGGAGGACCGCTGCTTACAGGCTTGCTCCTCACGGCTGGCTCAGTTTTCTCTTCTACACCCCCGACCACCATCCCAGGGATGGCATCACCTACAGGCCAATCTGATGGGAGCAATTTCTCTACTGAAGTTCCCTCTTTGATGACTCCTGTTTGTGTTGTCGGCCAAAACCAACCTACACACCATACATGTGTAAAGTCATGGTTATGGGGGTGGGGACGCTGAGTGCGGTGCCACTCACTGGTCTCAGCTACTCGGGAGGCTGAAGCAGGAGGACATTGATCCCAGGAGTTCATAGCCGGACTGGGTAATAGGGCGAGATTAAGTACCCCCAAACCAAACCAAAACAACAGCAAGATAAAGCAAGAAAGTCAGGCAAAAAGTCATAATGGATATGAAGAAAATGTCCCAGTAAGACAGAAAGGACAGCACTGTCACATACACCATTTTTAAATTATATTTATTTTATTTTGTGCATAATCTGCCTACATGTATGCATGTGCCCCACATGCATGCCTGATGCCCACAGAGTTCAGAAGAGGGAGGCAGACCTCCTGGGACTGGAATTCCAGACAGCCAGAGTCACATAGAAGAGCCTGTTTTTGTTGTTTGTTTTGTTGTTTTAAGTTATGACCAGCTTAGCACTGATAGTCGTTAGGGAGATGAAAATCAGCTGCCACTTCACACACACTGAGATGTCAGGAGCCAGTAAGTGCTGGAGACCACAAAGAAGCCTCCTGCATCAGCGGGAACTCAAGTGGTTCAGCATCCCATCTGCGCTGTACCCAGTCTTGCAGAAGTTAGGGGTGATTTAAGCCTACAGAGGGCAGGCAGAAGCCATGAGCAAATGCTACACCATTTCTGTGTTAGAGACAAGGTCTGGCTATGCAGCTGAGGCTGGCTTTGAACCTGTGACCATCCCACCTCTATCTCCTCAGTGCTGGGATTACAGGCATGCACTAGCATGCTCCGCTAACCTTTGGTAATTTTTAAAGATTCTAGGAGAATCTCAGGTAAGATCAAAGGGATCATAATCAATGGCCGAAGAGAGATACTGTCCTGTTTGGTATCCATGACGGGGACTGGTCCTTGCTGACCTCCACGGTGGAAAGAGTCATCCCATCTTTGCTGGCTCTGCCTCTGTGCTTTGCACGTGACCTGCTCTTTCTCCGTGGTCGCCCTCCTCCCACTACTGAGTTCTGGATGCACTGGTGACCACGGCAACTGTACTGCAAGATTCAGCCCACACCCTGGGCCTTCTCCCCAGGCCTGTCCAGCCTCAGGTGTTGACTAGATTCAGAACTCACCATTGTCTTGGCTAGATTCACTTTGCTGGTATGCCATCAGTATTGTCACTGTGGATCCCGTACAACCTCACGTGATGAGTCAATGTTTTTGACAAATGTTGAAAAACATCAAATAAGAAAGCAAACATGAAGGCGATGGATGTCAGGTCTAGTTCTAAGTTGCCTCATCATCATAGCATGTTACTACAGAGCACTGCACACTCCTCCCTCCCTTCAAACGTGTGATGAGAGACTGCTGTGTATCCCTAGGCTAGGGAATTCTGATGGAATGATCATCAAAAATATACCTAATGGGAGCTGGGCATGCTGGCCATGCCTTTAATCCCAGCACTTTGAGAGGCAGAGCTCTGAGAGTTCAAGGCCAACCTGGCCTACATAGTGAGTTCCAGGTCAGCCAGGACCTCAAAGAGAGACCCTGTTTCAAAAAACTAAAAACAAATGAATAAATAAACACTTAAACACACACACACACACACACACACACACACACACACACACACACACACTCTCTCTCTCTCTCTCTCTCTCACTCTTCATGGGGGGAAGGGGAACTGGGGGATGGGATGAAGAGATGCCTCAATGGGTGAAAGTGCTTGCTAGGCAAGTCTGCTCTAAGCTCAGATGCCCAGAACTCACATAAAATCTAGATGTAGTTCAAGTGTCTGTAATCCTAGGGTGTCCATATGGGGAGATGGGAGGCAGGGACAGGCGATTCTGCAGAAATCCTGAGCCAGCTAACCTCGATGGCTAGATGGCTTATGCCATCCAGAAACCCTGTCTCAAACAAGGTAGACAGGAGACAGGTGAGGACTGAGACCCAAAGATGGCCTTCTTACTTCCTTATACAGGAACAAGCACACAAATAAACAGGGTATGAAATATCACAGTGACTCATAAATATGCACAATTACTATGTGAGAATCAAAAAAAGGCCTTTAATCCCAGCACTCGGGAGGCAGAGCCAGGCGGATCTCTGTGAGTTCGGGGCCAGCCTGGACTAGAGTGAGTTCCAGGAAAGGCAAAAAGCTACACAGAGAAACCCTGCCTTGAAAAAAATCAATCAATCAATCAATCAATCAATCAATCAATCTGTCCTTGGATTTTATTCCATGAGTCCAGTAAAGGAAACAAACACAGGCAGGCGGTGTGGAACAAACCTGCAATCCCAGGACTTGGGAGACTGAAGCAGGAAGACTGCTGGGAATCTATGGACAGCCTGGGCTGCAGGGAGAGACCGTCTCACAAACCCAACCCCTTCCCACATTGAAATTAAATAAATGAAATGTATATAAAAAAAACTGTGAATAACACTATTAAAAAATTTAACAGCACAGGAACAAGCACAGACCAAAATTTTGTTTTGAGACAGGGTTTCTCTGTGTAGCCCTGGCTGTGGTGGCCCACTTCTATAAACCTAGGACTCAGGAGGTGGAGGCAGGAGAATCATGAATTTGAGGCCCCTGGTGGGCAACGCAGTGAGAACTTATTTCAAGAATCAAAAAGCTGGGTGTGGTTGAACATGCCTTTAATCCCAGCACTCAGGAGGCAGAGGCAGGTGCACCTCTGCAGTTTGAGGCCAGCCAAGGCCTGCTATGCCCCCCCCACCCACCAAGAAACCAAAAAGAAAAAAAAAATCTTTATTTTCCTGCCTTGTCATGTGACATCTCTTCTGTACACAGCTATTTCCCTTGCTGCTTCTCTGCATGCCGTGATATAACGAAGCGGGCTGTGCTGGCTGATTTTATGTCACTCTGATATAAGCTAGAGTTATGTGGGAGGAGAGAATCTCAACTGAGAAAATGCCTCCATAAAATGTGGCTTTAGGCAAGTCCACAGTGCACGTTCTTCATGGTGTACTTCAAGTTGTAAGATGAATATGGTCACGGTGTTTATCCCAGCGATAGCAACCTAAGACAGGGGCGTCACCAGACACCGAACAAAGCTGCTAGATCTTGGACTTTAGCCTCTAAAACTGTGAGCTAAATAGGTTTCTTTTTAAAAATAATGTACCCAGTCTCGGGTATTTTGTTATGGCAACAAGAAACAGGCCAATACAACTTTTGTTTATTTATTTATTATTGTCATTATTTTAGTGTTTTGAGGTAGGGTCTGCCTATGTAGCTCAGGCTAGCCTTAACTTGCAATGATCAGTCTCTCTAGAGCTGGGATTACCAGTTAGTGTTACCATGCCCAGCTACAACATTCTTTTATTCTTGTAGAATGTGCCAGGAGATTTTTAATGATTATTAACAAAGCCAGTTTATAGCTACCATCTTCAAATCACCCTGCTCTTGCCACAGCCCAGAGCTTTGGCTCAGCAACTAAGTTCACACACTGTTTAATGAGTAGCCATGAACGATCCTGCCCTCCTAGTCTTTCTGTGAGACCCTGTCATGACTTCAGAGCCGAGACTGTCAGTTCCAGTCAGTGCGGTCCTCCAGGAGCCCCTGCTCACCTGATGGTCCAGCCTCAGCTGTCGAAGCCTCAGTGTCTCATCTTCAAAGGCACTGTCTCAAAAACAGAAGAAGAAAGCACATAAAGACACAATCTTTCTAAAAGCCTGTCCATTTTGTGTTTTTCTTTTTTCTTTTTTTTTTTGGTTTTTTGAGACAGGGTTTCTCTGTGTAGCTTTGCGCCTTTAATGGAACTCACTTTGTAGCCCAGGCTGGCCTCGAACTCACAGAGATCCGCCTGCCTCTGCCTCCCGAGTGCTGGGATTAAAGGTTTGAACCCATGGCCTTATGTCTGAAGCCTTCTACCACTGAGCTATACACATAGCCAGGTTTGTTCTGTCTTTGAGACAGGGTCTTACTGTATAGTACTGATGACCTGGATCTCACTCTGGAGACCAAGCCGGCCTCAAGCTCACAGAGATCTGCCTGCCTCTGCCTCCCCACTGCTGGGATTATAGGTGTGTGCCAACACTGCCTGGCCATTTTTTTTTCCTAACAAGAAGTCTGTCTACCGCCCGGCCCATTTTGTGTTTTTCATACACGCATTCCACTGGGCTAACTGGAAACAATGGATTCTGCCTTAGAGGAAGCGCCCTGACTTTGAGGACAGTCTGGGGCTTCATGGTGTCTCAAAATCAACTAGGTCTGCATTAGTAACATTTGTTCTACAGAGAAATACTAAGGAATACAAGGCTGACACCCCTGTGAGCCAGAAGAGGGCATCACACCCCCAGAGCTGTAGTTACAGGTGGTTGTGAGCTGCCATGTGGGTGTTGGCAGGACTGAACTCAGGTCCTTTGGAAGAGCAGCAAGTACTCTTACCACTTAACTATCTCTCCAGGCTCCCCTTTAATGTACCCACCCACCCACCCTCCCATCCATCCATCCTCCCATCCATCCATCCTCCCATCCATCCATCCATCCATCCATCCATCCATCCATCCATCCATCCATCTAGTGTTTGGGGGTAGTGATAGGGATTGAATCCTGGGCCTTGGGCAGGCTAAGCAAGTAATCTACCACTGAGCCACACTCCCAGCTCTGAGACAGACTTCTTGTTAGGAAAAAAAAATGGCCAGGCAGTGTTGGCACACACCTATAATCCCAGCAGTGGGGAGGCAGAGGCAGGCAGATCTCTGTGAGCTTGAGGCCGGCTTGGTCTCCAGAGTGAGATCCAGGTCATCAGTACTATACAGTAAGACCCTGTCTCAAAGACAGAACAAACCTGGCTATGTGTATAGCTCAGTGGTAGAAGGCTTCAGACATAAGGCCATGGGTTCAAACCCAGCACTGCAGAACAAACTAAACAAAGGAACACGCAGGAACACCACGGAGCACTTACAATACCAGCCCCTCCTCCCCACTGCAGCTCATTTCTGGGAAAGGGTTAACCAGGAGAAAAGACTCTGAGGCGACAGCTCAGTATTTCCCAACCGATGCTGCAAACCTGCTTTTGCTCAACGCTCTCAGTCTGTCCTCAACACTAAACTAAAATTGTGATGCCTCCTGGCACGGATAAAGACCATCCCCTCTCCTCACCACACCTCCCAAGTGCTGAAACCTCAACAATGCTACACTCGGACTGCACACCCCAGAAGCCTCAAGCATTCCTTTCAGGTTCTCTAACAGTTAGCACGCTGGGCGTGTCTTCAAGGCCGCATCCAGACACCATTCAATTCCTTCCAGCAAGCCTGGGCAAGCTGAGCAGATGTAAATAACAGGGTATCATGAAAGCATTCTGACCTGAACAGAACAGAAAATAGACGCTATAGGACTATAACACGTACGAATCATAGCTACAGCTGTTCTAAATCAAACCATAGGCGGAGGACGGGGCTCAGTGGCAGAGTGCTCGCCTAACATGCACAAGGCCCTGAAAAAATAAAGAAAAAGTAAACTGAAACTCTCATTTAGCAGAAACTGAAATGTGCTTTTAATGGCAGAACCCTCTCTCCAGCCCCAACCCCCACAACTTCAACAGTTTCTTTTCTTTCTTTTTCTATTACATCTTCTGGAAGCCTCTGCCCTTACGACCTACTCAATTCCCCAAAGCCCCACTTCCTGAGACCATAACTTTGCTGACTTGACTAACTGTGGCGGAAGGGTATGGGACACACACATTCACATCACAGGACTTCACAGAAGATGGTCCGTGACCACAGAGGGGAGTGGTAAAGGAGAAAGCTGAGTGAGAACTTAACTATGGTGAGGATTGCCAAGCTGGGCATCGTGCTTCCCAGGACTCTTCCAGCTTGAGGCCAGCCTAGACTTACACAGTAAAACCTGTCTAAACAACCAAGCCAAACACTCAATTAAGATCTCTAGTAATGAGGTGTTGAGGCATCATGTTCTTTTGTTTTGTTTTTGTTGTTGTTGTTTTTCGAGACAGGGTTTCTCTGTGTAAAAGCCTTGCCTGTCCTAGAACTCACTCTGTAGACCAGGCTGGTCTCGAACTCACAGAGATCCACGAGCCTCTGCTTCCCAAGTGCTGGGATCAAAGGAGTATGCCTGGTTTTCTGTTTGTTCTTTAATGTGAGGGACCACTATTAGATGAGAGATAAATGGGGTGAAGGACAAAGGTTACTTTTGAACTTTTTTTGGTAATTTTCTTTGCAAATTTAATTTCTTTCTTTCTTTTAAGTAATAATGATAGACAGAGTTATTAGGAAGAATGGGTGTGGCTAGTGAGCTAGGGAAAGGCAGAGATGCAAAAGTCAATTTTTTTCCAAACAGTAAGAGTTACAAAATAAGACATTTTGATAAATGTTTATTTTGTAACTATGGCCTGAGTAATTTATCAATTCCTCTGCCCTTTATCTGCCTGCTTCTGCTTCCCTGGAGCTGGGATTAAAGGAGGGGACCACCACGGCCAGCTTGCCCTTGAATACCAGTTATCCTCAGGGTATTTCCGGGCAGCTGATAGAGGGTGAGAACTGTGAGGATATTTGCCCAAGATCAAACAGAGCTGGCTCCATCACTGGAGACCTGTCTCCCTTCTGCTGCTGCTGTGGAGCACTTCCTGACAGACAGCTTGCCTGTTTCACTCACTAATCTTCAACTGCCTCCACCTCGAGGCCACACTCACAGTCCCTGCAAGTTCTCGGGCGCTCACTGCAGCTGAACAACCAGGAGTGATAGATTGCTCCACCAGAGAAGGATGCCCAGTGATTGAGTGCTGCAGTCAAAGATGGAGAGGCTCAGCAAGCCCCTGAGGTCCTGGGGAGAGCAAAGCTACTCTGCAGGAAGGGAACAGGATAAGGCTTGCCGAAAGCGATGGCCGTGAGACCCAGTCATAGGCTTTCCTAGGAGGGACTGGAGCAAACAGTTCCTTTACTGGTCCTGAAGATCACAAACGCTGCTTGTCAGTCTCAGACATGAACAGTGAGGAGACAAGTGAGAAGGAATGGCTTATCCTGGACACTAAATGCAAGAAACACACTGGGGTGAAGCCACAGTGACAAAGCTTATGAGAAATAAACCGCTTGGTGTGCACCAAGGAAGTACTGGTAAGATGTTATGGGAAAGACAAAAGAAAAGGTTTTCATTTAAAATGACTCTTACTACACTTACTTATCTATTGTGTGAGGAGTGGCATCCAGAGGCAGGAGGATCTTCGTGAGTTAGAGGCCAGCCTAATCTACATAGCAAGTTCTAGGATAGCCAGGATATATAGAGACCCTGTCTCAAAAAGAAAAAAAGAAAGAAAAGGCAAATGTAGTATGTGAATGGGTGTGGTGGCACAAGCCTACATCCCAGCACACTAAGGAGATTCTGTATCGTGCAAGGCCAGCCTCAGCTACACTGCTGGCCTATCCTGGGGCGGGGGGGGGGGGGGGGGGGGGGGGGGGACCTGATTATTCTGCACTATGTCTCCATGACCATCAATCAACGCATGCAGAAGATATCTGAGATGAGCAATCAGACTCCCCTGCCTGTGATTTTGACATTGGATCTCAGGGATCCAGTTTCGTACGGGCTCTCTGAGGACACTGAGCCACATCTAAGCGAGGCTATGTGGTTCTATAATCACTAAACAGCAACTGTGGGGTATAAGTGACAGGCATTCTGGTCCTGCTCTGTGCTCTCAACTACTCCACTGAAATATGTATTCAAGGTGACCGTCGCTTTACATTTCAGTAGTAATCAAGAACACTAGGCCACCTGCAAATAACTGACATCCCACAGACCTGCAGTATCCCTCTACCCTGGGTAAGATGGGCAATGAGTGGAAATCTAAAGAAAATGAACACTTTAGGAAAGTAGATACAGCTCTTTCGGGGGGGGGGGGGGGGGTGCAGGGTGTGTGTGCATGCGCCCATGTGGTTTATGCACCTATGTATATATAGGTGCATGAACTTGTGTACATGTATGTGGAGGCCAGAGAACATTGGGTGTCCCATTCTCTCACTCTCTGCCTTACTCCTCGAGACAGAGTCTCTCACTGAATTTGCAACTATGCTGGCAGCCAGCAAGCCCCAGCAATCCTCCCTGTCTCCTTTCCATATAATGCCAGAGACAAAGGCCCGTGCATGGTCACTTCCAGACTTTTCCATGGGTGCAAGGGGATCTGAACTCAGGTCCCCAGGCCTGCACAGCAAGCACTGTAAACCACTGAGCCATCTCTCCAGCTCTTCAGAATCCAGACCATGCTACTGCTCAGGACACAGTACCTGTGGCAGTCACCCCGTGAATCTCTAGCTAACAGACTTCCAGGTACTTGGTTTCTTAGTTCCCCAAGTAAGCACCTTCTGCTGGCGGACTGGACAACCAGACATATCAAAGAACTACAATATGCTGACACATTCTCTTCTCCCTGCTGCCTGCTGGGGAATGCCAGACAGCCTGCCAGCAGGCCCCTCTGAAATCTGTAAGGAAGGACCCAACTCTGCTGCACGGGCCTGAGTCTCTCAGAGTCCCTGCTGCACTGTTGACTTTCTGTCCACCCGTGGCATTAATTACTCTGACAATAAACTTCTTACCCCCAACAGTCCATCTCAGTGTCGCTCTCGAATCCTACACCCTGTATTCTTTCCAGACATG